TGTTCTTTCTTGCGACATGTTCTTTTTTGCGACAGTGCTGTTCGTTATTGCCACAACGTTCATCATTTCTGTGACAATGCCCGAAGTGTTCTTTTTTGCGACAGTGGCCCGGTTGCTCTTTTTTTGCGACGGTGGCGCGGACTAGTGTGTGATTTGCAAGTCGCCGCTTCTCCGCCCATCGGGGCACGCTGACGAGTGAAACGGGGTTGCCGGCCTGGAGGCTTCCAGAGCCGCAGGCAGCCACATTACGGGAAGCAAGGCAGGTGAGCCCGCCGTGCACGGCACAAAAGCAAGGTCAAAACCGATGGGCGGGTGCCGTGGCGAATGACCGGTGGCCCGGCGGGGAACGGGTGTGGCCCACCCAGGCGAAGAGGCCAAAACGGGGGAGAGGGGGGGGGGGGGGGGGGGGGGGGGGGGGGGGGGGGGGGGGGGGGGGGGGGGACGGGTGCTGGGCACCCTGGCGGAGGGTTCGTTAAAGGGCCACGGCAGCGGGCCTCTCCAAGAGGACCAGGGAGGCGTGAGATCGATCCGCGGCTGATCTCCGCCTACGCGCAGCGAAGCATGGTGCCCGCTTTGGCTCCTTGCAGGCGCCGACTGGCACCACTCGTGGGTGCTCCGATAGGCACCCGCGGCTCTCACCAATCGGTGGCCACGATGGGCAAGAATGGCGGGAGTGGGAGGCGACGGGTGGCCTCCCACTCCTGCCTTTTTGTGGCGTCCTTTGCGCCCAACACTTGTGCGCCGCGCCGCCCGTGGCTGCCCTTTGGCATCCGCCCCTCGTGGGCACCGAATAATGCCACACGCGGGTGCCAATCTAGGTACCCGCGGGTGGCACCAGCCGGTGGCCATGAGGGGCAGAAATGGCGGGAGTGGGAGGCGACGTTCGGCCTCCCACTCTCGCCGTTTTGTGGCGTGTTCTGCACCCAAGCGTTGGTCTTAAAACAGGCCATAGATCGCAGTTCGCAGTCGACCCCTGCGGGCGCCGATTGCTGCCACTCGCGGCTACCGATCAGGGCATCCGCGGGTGGCACCATTCGGTGATCACGAGGAGCATCAGCGCGGGAGTGGGAGACAACTTTCGGCCCCCCCACCCGCCGTTTTGTGGCGTCTTTTGCACCCAACCTTTGGGCTAGTCCTCGCAGGTTGGCCGGCAGAACCACCCGTGCCTGTCTTGGCGTGTGTCGGTGGCCCGCCAGCAGCCGGCATCCACCTGGCCGGCACTTACACGTGCCTTGGCCCGCCGTGGACGTGGCCCACGAACCAGCAACCCATGGAAGAAGTGTCTTGATGCGGGAAAGTGGTCCCCGAACGGCGGACGGGTTGCGCAGCGCAAAGGTCAGCGTTGGCCGGCGGCTGATTCATGGCGCTTGGCTGGCCGAGTCACACTTTGGCCACGGCCACTGTCGCAAAAAAGAGTAGTTTGGCACTGTCGCAAAAAAGAGTAGTCCACTGTCGCAAAAAGAAATATTCACCTGAAAGAAACACTTATGCCTTCACGAAATGCGTAAAATAAGCAGCACCTCATTTTGCTCTCGAACTTTGCCAGTGTTGGACAGCTGGTGGTCACAAGAGAATGTCATGACACATATCATCGACATGACAGCAGTAGTGACCAACATTGGGGCAATGTACGGATTTGGTCATAATCCTTGTTTCCATAACAGTAGTCACAAAGCAAAACGTCTTTTGCCAGATTGGCGATGTCAGGCATGGACTTGGAGGTTGGAGGTGTCAAGGCATCAATTGCCTTGCATCGGTCCTTGGGCATTGTGCATTTGTTTCACAAGTCAAAAGCATTTGCTGCGGAAAGGCACCAGCTCTCCTGGAAAACACGAGACAGACAGATAGTAGTAGACACACAAGCGGATCCAACTCACCATGGCGGGCAGTTTTCTTGTGACTTCGATCTTTGACTGCTTGAAACACCTCTTCCCAGTGCTCCTTCCAATCGCCATCATTGGCAGTTTCGAATGGCCTGAACAGCATTTGACGCGATCCAAATGCATCTTTTGCGACGTAGTCCTGAGAGCAGAGAATTAAAGCCACTCACGTTTCCCAGAAACACCAAGAGCATAAACTGTAATGATCTGGAACACACATGTTGTGAAGTTATAAATATGACTATCAGAATCAAGCAACACCCTTCCTGTCATCTTCACACAGCCTCACACTTCAAAGCATGAGCACTTTGAAGTCTATCCGGTGTTATCAAACTGAATCTATCACGATTTCAACACGCAGCCTGGAATAATAGTCAAGTCATATCAGTTACTGTTTCCTTACTCAATGCTTCCATGGCTGCTTTGTCGATGTTGCCCATAAGTTCAGGGGGGCGATTGAACGCGACAGTATCGAATTGCGTGTAAGCGAACCAGAGTAATGTGTGGTTGAAGCGGTCAATGGCGTGAACTTGATCCAACCAAGCATGCAGGTAGATCTTGCATGTTGATGTGTCTGCTCGTTCACAGTTGAAAGGCTTGTTTGCCAACACATCGTCACGATTCGTTGTTAGAAAACCTGGTGACAGCGGATCTCAGGTGGAGGCGCAAGAAAGGGAACGGCTGCGACAGCCGACGGACAGCAAGAACGTGCGAGCACGAGCCTACACCCTTCCGGCGGGTTTGTTTTGCATCAACGAAGCTCATCAATAGAGCTTTTCTGTGGCGCCACATCCTCCTTTCGCATCGAGCAGCAGAGCCCAGAAGAAAACCTGACAGCGCTTCGCCATCATTGGGACACGAGAATTGCTTTGTCTGGTTACGGCCGGTGTTCGGACCGCATGGGCTGCAGTCGCTGCTTCCAATTCGTCGTCCTGGTTGATCGCAACTGTGGAGAGGCGTCGCCAGGGGCCAGGCGACAGAATTCTGGGGTGCGTTTACAGCCCGGTCCGCTTGTTGCGTGCGGTCGCCATGTCCGCCGTGGCGCCATTGGCGTCCCGCCCTCACGCGACGAACGGCGGTGGCGTCCAATAGCGTCATGCATAGCGGGCCCCAAGCTAGGCCTCAAGGCCCTTGACCAGTCAAAGGATCTGAGCCGCGTCTTCCCAAGGGGCAAAGCAGGTACAAAGGCCGTCTTCGCTGTTGCGCCTGTCGACTCTTGGGCTGCCAACGCAGCGCCGTAGTAGCATAGTACCGTAATATCATAGTACAACGTACTACAAAGTGATTCAACTTGGTACAACGTAATGCAACGTTGTACATCTTAGTGCACCGTAGTACACTGCAGCGTAGCGCACTACAGTATGCTGACAGCCTCAGGGCCGCCCCCCGTTTCTCGATTCGACTTACCCATACGCTGCTGGAAAACGGCCCAGCAACCACACCTAAAGTTTCACAATGCGGCGCTGGGCTGTTTTGCAACAAGTGGTGAATAATTAACCCACGACTTGCATCTCCAACATTTCCCTTCAAACAGGCCCAAAAATAGGTGTGAAATTGAACATTCAAGGTGCCATCGAAGATAGACAGGGCGCCTCACCTCGACCTTCATGTCTCCCAGCCTCCTCACACCATCCAGCTTGATCGCGGATGTCACCATCCCAGGACACTTCTTGATCAGCTGCGACGTTTCGGCCCCTCCCTGTATCAAATTCCAAATGTCACGTATAGTGATGCCGGGGTTCACAGAGCCTTCTCCCGCGGCTAAGACAGCTGCAGATGGTATCGCGCTCCCCTCCTGGTCGAGTGGCAGGTCTGCCAACTCCCACAAGCCGTGGGCGGTGATGCTGGGCTGATTGGCGATCTGGTCCACAAGTCTGATGTTCATGCTTGGGTTGTGGTCCACCATGGGCACTGTGCGGGACCGCTGGAATGGAGAGGGGCTGCCATCCATCAGTGGAGTTCTGGCGTCATCCATGCTGAGAGCAGGGTAGCCAGAGGCAGTCAGCAGGGAAGAGAATCAGGAGCAGAGAGAAGAGCACAGCTGTTCTGCATACAAACAAAGTGACTGTTGAGTATAACCCTGACAGGCACCCATCGGCAAAAGAGCAGCGTCCTGAATGTCCTAGAACACACCCGCGGCGAGTGCAACACTGCGCCTGGGCAAGCGCCATGGTTGATGACTCATACACAAACATGCACAAACGGAGATACTTAGGAGGCTTCGAGTCCGATCTGTAAAGTTGGAGGCAGCATCACATGACTGTATCCGACTGGCCTCCAAAACACCTCGAACCTGCTGCTGTGATGGTACCATTGTACAACATGGAGTCAAACAGCTCAGAAACGTCTCAAAAATGCTCGTAGTGAAAAAGAAACAACCCGCCATCTCATCGGCCACCCCGCGGGAATCGTACGGGGGCCAATGTGCATTCAAGCATCACACGCGGAAGAATGGAACATCCATGCGGCCCGAAAAGCTGAGCGTTCTCCACATCTGGTTCAAATGAAACTGGCTCCCGTCCATCTATGGGTCTGGACGACGCGGCCCGCCCTGATTGGGCCAACCATACCCTCGCCCGTCCTACCCCCCAAATCGAGTCCGTCGTGGGCCCAATGATCCCCGCTTTGCGCGATTCCCAATGCGGGCAGGGCCGCCTCGGCCCTGCGGTGCCCCATTGGTCGTGCGCTCACGTACGCTCAGGCGACCGACTGGGGCGCTCGTTGTGCTCCGTGTCATGTCCCGGGTGAGGGTACCTCCGACACCCACGCCCCCGCCGCACAACTGCGGCAAGCCATCCGATCAGCACGCAGGGACCGCGAAGGTAGGCCGTTGCGGGCGCGCGCCCTTCGATTTTCATCCCCGCCACCCCTTATGCCGTCTCGAGATAAGGGCCTATTTCCTGAGCCCAGGGGCACCACACCAGCAGGGAGATTCGGCTCTTTTGACACGGCGAGATTGCTTTTCGCGCCCCAACGAAGCAGCTGCCACCCAGTGCGCCTTATCAGCCCAGCGATCTGCCCACAACGCGCCGTGCCTGCCACGACGATGGGATCGAATGGCCGCTGACAGCCGTGCCGTGGGCGTGGAGGGCGTGGAGGGCGCGGCTCCGCCGATTACGGCCATCTCGTCGGTACGGCCTCCTCAGCATGGCCCCACTGACCTTGGAAAAAGGCGGGTGCCCTCGCGCACAGGTGAAATCCGCAGCGACTGGGGTGCCTGCGATGGCGATCTCGCTGTGCGCTGCCCGGTGGCTTCCCTGTTGGGCCTCCCGGGCTGGGATGATCCCGGGATGGCTTCCAGCAGGGCAGTCTACACTGCAGGAACTCCGGTCCGCGTGGGCTGTGACCCAGGGAGTTCCAAGCGGTGTCGCGGGTGCCCGACAGCACAGACGCCCTGCGCCGGGATGCGCGGCACGGCGGCGGTGGGGCCGAATGCGGAGCACCGCGGTGGGCGCACCAAGTATTGGGCCCATGCACCCGCCAAAGTCACTCCTCGCTCATTGCGGTCACTTTCCGCTAACCGTCAGGGTTGATCAGGGCCGCGGGGCGGCTTGTCGCTCAGGTGGATGGCGGGGAAGGGGCTTGACGTGATTTCGGTGGTGCGCCGGCCACGAGTTGGACCGTGCCGGGTGTGCACGCACCCTCCTCCTCACACCCTTAACGTCCACGTCAGGGGTCACGATGTCACGATGTCATCGGTGGCGGTGGTGTTGTTCGGCTTGGCTTTGAGTGAGTAGTCCGATACCTGCCATTACCAGATATGGTCATGAAGGGGCTAACGAGGGCGGTTAGGGTCGAGAGGTAGCAACCAGGCTTACATGTAGTTTTATGTTTTTATGTCTGTGTTTTTATGCATCAAAATGTTGTTGAAGGAAAGGCCGTTGATGCGATTCAAACAACTCCCTTTGGAGTGCACACGGGAAGCGCGAATCCACGATCGCCGATGCTTCAACGGGTTGGGACATGGCCATACGCAAGGCCACGCCACATGCAAAACGTCCAGGGCTTACATATTTGTTCACCCTTCTCAAAGCGAAGAGCCTTGCCGACGGTGGCAACGACCCCTGCAACCGAACAGTTCGAATTTTCTTGCACCCACAGAACTCTCCTTTTCACATGACAAGGACCATCATCCATCACCAACCAGCCATACCGCGCTTCAGAAATGCCCACTCATCGCCACAATGCAACCCACTTCATAAAA